AAAGAGTATGCCCTCAGAATAGTAAGGTGTGCCCCCCCAAAACAAACAAACAAAATTAAAAAGTAGCACAGCGGGTAGGGCATTCGCCTTACAAGTGGCCAACATGGCCGACCCAAGTTCGATTCCTCCGCCCCTCTCAGAGAGCCCGGCAAGCTACCGAGAGTATTCGATATGCCAGACACAGTAACAACAAAGTCTCCAATGGAGATGTTACTGGGCCCGCTCGAGCAAATCGACAATCAACGGGAGGGCCTTTACCTTTACCTTTATATATGAAAGGTTAAGAGTAAATGGGCCAGGCCTCTGGGAAGTGATGCCTGACATTTGGAGGCTGATGTGGGCTGTGGGTGAGAATGATCTGGAAGTTTTATTTTATTTTATTTATTTAATTCTTTTTGCTTTTTGGACCACACCCGGCGATGCACAAGGGTTACTCCTGGCTTCTCACTCAGGAATTAGTCCTGGCAGTGCTCGGGGACCATATGGGATGCTGGGACTCGAACCCGGGTCGGCTGCATGCAAGGCAAATGCCTTAACCGCTGTGCTATCGTTCCAGCCCCTGATTTGGAAGTTTTAAGCTGGGGTTCTGAAAATTACATATCTGCCAATACGCAGAACAAGAAGTTAGTGAAACAGAGAGCCTTTAAGACTGAAGCATGGCACCGTGAGTACTACAGTGCCTGGCTGGTCTGAAGGCGTTTAGCACAAATCTGAACAATCTCTGTGAGCCCACACTACCCTAGCAAACCTCTCTCTGTGCACATGATGACCTGGAGCCACCATTTGCAAATTCTGCTTTAAATGAGAAAAGATGCAGAAAAGATCTTAGAGTTGCAATCACTCGAAAGTATAGATAATCCCTTAGAATCAGTGTGAAATAAAAAGTAACACTAGAACATTTAAGGTAGAAATATAGTTTCCTGATATTCATTGATTTCGGGATGGTTGGAATTATTGGAGTTAAGCAACAAATCTTTGTAGCAGCATAGAATGGTTTAGTAGGTAATTGAGCCAATCTTGTTTTTTGAGAATTGAAAAAAAAATGGTAGCATTAAGAGAAGACTACCAAAAAAAAAAAAAAAGAAATGAATTGTTCTCAGAGGTGTGGGGAGTAATATCTAAAAATCAGTCCTTGGGGCCAGAGCGATAGCACAGCTGGTAGGGCGTTTGCCTTGCACGCGACCGACATGGGTTCGATCCCCGGCATCCCATATGGTCGCCCAAGCACCGCCAGGAGTAATTCCTGAGTGCAGAGCCAGAAGTGACCTCTGAGCATTGCTGGGTGTGATCCAAAAAGCAAAATAAATAAATAAATAAATAAATAAAAATCAGTCCTTGAGGGAGGGATACTGGAATCCGTGGTGGTTCGAAATGGGCACTGGTGGAGGGATGGGTATTCGATCATTGTATAATTGAAACCCAAGCACGAAAATTTGTAAGTCTACAACTGTACCTCATGATGTCTCACTAATAAAAATTTTTAAAAAAATCAGTCCTTGAAAAAGTGCATGAGACTTAAGACTATGAATTGGTAAGATGTCAACCTGAAGGAAATTAAGGGTTCACAATCTTGAGTTTAGAAAAATGTTTGTTTCCTGAGTAATGATGATGATAAAAATATAGTCACAGTGTATTAAAAAAAAGAGAGAGAGAAGACTACATGGGTGAGACTGACCCAGATGCACAATATTTCTGATGGATATACTGACTTTAGCAGGGTGTTCAACACTTGGCCAATTGGAGAAATGTGAATATCTAGCTGTAGGACTAATCAAATGAGCGATATTAAGACAGTGTGATGATGTTTGCATACAAGGTATTTTTTAGAGTTGTGTAATGTCTTGATTCTGTCCTGGTTCACTGGATCATGTTGGTGAAACTTTGGTGAGTTATGTGGGAGGTAAAGTAGGTATGCTTATTAAATCAGCAATGCCATAAGAAGAATGGCATGAAAAAGTGATATGCTGAACAGTAAAATCGGGATATAAAGAGTCCTTCAGATGCTAGAATAATAAACCAAATGAACACAACAAAAAAGAATATTTCACAAGAAATTTAAAGATATTGAATCAGCTCATGTAAAAAAAGCCCTGGTTTCATTTTTTTTAAGGGGGGGGGTTGTGGAATGGGACAACACTCACAGTGCTCAGGGCTTATTCCTGGTTCCGAACTCAGAGATCACTCCTGGTGGGGTGTGGCGGGAATCATATGAGGTGATTGAACCTGGGCTGGCTGTGTGCAAGGTAAGTACCCACTGTGCTATCTCTCCAGTCCCCCAAGGCCTTAGTTTTAATTAATTGAAGGGACACTCTCAACCAGAATGTTTCTGTTAGGAAGAGAGTAACTCTAGGTGCCAAAGTGGGTGGGCACTTAACTTGCATGCAATTGACCCGGGTTTGATCCCCAGAATCCTATATAGTTCCCCGTGCACCGCCAAGAGTAATTCCTGAGTGCAGAGCACTGCTCCACCACATAACTCATCAAAAAAAGAGAGAGAAAGAAAAAAAGAGAGAGAGAAAGCAACTCTAGTATTTATAATAAAGTAATAAATATATTACTTCTCTAAGTTCAAAACGAATCTAAACAACCACAACAAAAAATGCTAAACAAATAAAACCCAAAACAAACACTCCCCCCCCCAACAAAACCCACTACAGAGAAAATGAGGCCTGGATTTAGGGTTCTGTATCTAACACCTACACTTGGTTCTGAGGCCTTCATGGTTCTAGATAGTCAGCTAATACCTAGACTCCAAGGAGGGTAGACTGACACTCAGACGTGGATTTCTGGGCTTGGTTCATGTGCTGCCCTGTCTGACTTTGTAAGTGCACAGAGAGGACCATTTCTCCAAATGTTCCCAGGTATGAAGGAGTAAGACTCAGGTGTAGCCCTTCAAGTTCCTTTTCATTTCAATCCAAAGGGAATTCACAATTGGCTCGCAACAGGTTTCCACGATCTTTTATTCCCACCTCTCACGCTCCTTCCCAGAGAAGCAGTGTCCCTTCTATCTCAATACTTCTTCCCCCTTCCTTTCCTTTTAGGTCAAAACATTTCTGAACCCCAAAAGCATTTTATTTATTTATTTGTTTTTTATTTTATTTTATTTTATTTTGCTTTTTGGGTCACACATGGTGATGCACAGGGGTTTCTCCTGGCTCCACACTCAGGAGTTACTCCTGGCAGTGCTCAGGGGACCATATGAGATGCTGGGAATCGAACCCGGGTCGGCCGCGTGCAAGGCAAATGCCCTACCCGCTGTGCTATCTCTCCAGGCCTCCAAAAGCATTTTAAAGGCTCCTGCACACAGCCCTTTGGAATATTTCTGAGCACTGGGCAATGTGTCCACCAAGCACAATTTTCTGAGAGCCACACAACTGCACAGAGATTAATAAATAGCTTTTTCAAGGCGTCAGGATGAGAAGATCTTCAGATTTGTGGTTCCTTCCTTTGTTGGCCAGAAAATTGCTTCACATCATATCATCATAAAACGCTCTCCTTTGTAATGACAGATGTGTATAAAATCTGTGCTTGGCTTCAAACTTTATTAATATTGGCTGAGCACCTATGGATATGATCACTCATAGGCACGAGGCAGCTATACCTACTTATCTAGACTGCATTCTTTAAAGAAATAAAGGGCCAGAAAATTGCCATTTATATAATTTTTGCAGAATCACTAGATAATGCATGAAAAGGGGGAAGCAAACATAATGTCATTTCATGAAATTTCATTTCATGAAAACTAGATAAAATCCTAGATGTCTGAGTTAGATCAACTAAAGTCATTAGTGCACGATCCTCCCTTACTATTTATAATTTGCTGCTACCATCTTTATATTGCAAATACTTAAAAGTTAAAGATTCACCAGTGCTTTGTAATACTCTGGTATTCTTGAGAACAGCAGTTCCCAAATGCCAAGTCTTGAGTGTTACAGCAAAATGAGAAAAACAAAGTTGTAAAGTTTGTTTGCTTGTGCTAGATTCATTACACTGGAAGGATACCCTTCTCTTTAAGATTTTCCTCACAGCCCTGCTCGCTCACAAAATCATCTGATCTTAGGTATTAGATAATTAGTTAATCACTTAGTGTTTTGTCAACAGCCAGCGGATCTCAGTGGTTACACTTACTGTGTGATATTGGAGACCACACAGTGCTGCAGAGTAAACCATAGACTTCCACATATAAAGCATGTGGACTAACCCTTTGAACTGTCTTCCAATTTCTTAGAATTCTTTGAAAAGCATATTGCTATGGGGCTGGAACAATAGTACAGTGGGGTAGGGCATTTGCCTTGCATGCAGCCAACCCAGGTGGGATCCTTGGCACCCAATATGGTACCTTGAGCCCAACACGAGTGATCCCTGCGCACAGAGTCAGGAATAAATCCACCACGAAGTGTGGTCAAAAAACAAAAAAAAATAGTATATGTCAGGGTAAAAACCTGCTTTTATCATTAGGCTTCTTACTTATTAAGAAGGAAAAAAATTAAAAAGAAACAAACCCCAAACCCAATTGTTATGCTCAGTTCACATTCCTCTTCCTGTTTATCCTGAAGTTAGTGAACATCCACAGAAACCAGACCCTTAAGATGATCCCATAACCAGGATCATTTTACCCTTGGGAGAAGAGGCTACAGGATGTAGTTTAAGCATTAAGTCTGAGAGAGGACTTCGAACTGGGCTGGGTCTCTCTTGGTTTGTATCTGGTCAGTCTTTCCTGTTTTTGTTCTGTCCTAGATTCAACATCTCTTATGTGTAAGAAAGTGGCCGCTACAGTCTGCTAGAGAAGTGCTGGATCTCCAAGTCTGGAAATTTGATTTGTAGGCAATGTTCTGTTCTGCCACAAGGTCTTTGATGTCTTGAATAATCATAATAATAATCAAATAACAAAGAAAAATAAGCACAAGTGCCTTTTTTTTTTTTTGCGGGCAGGCAAACGGAATGGTTGAGAAAGCATGTCAGAGCAGAGAACATCCCATGCACATGACCACAGAACGCACCTTTCTGAAGTCACCCGTATCCTCTCGTCATTGGAAGAGTTGAATCGGTCATCCTTCTCTCTAAAGTATTCCTCTATGCATTGCTCTTCAAAATCATGTACTTTCTTAAGTTCATCATCAGTTATGAAGAGTTCTGTGGGGGAACAAGAAGAGATTTGAGGGAGGGCAGGAAAGGCAATGACATCTGCTCTTTTGGGCCAACTAAGGTCAGGGAGAGCAGCCTGGAACTTGCCAGTATGAGTGTCTAGAAAGAAGTCAAGTGTTGATTGCCAGGTTAGGGTAGTTCTGAAAAGCTACAGACTTAGAGAAGCAGTTGATTAGAGGGCTTCAGTGTCAAACTTTAGATGCAGTAGTTATCACTGCAAGGTAATTATCAGGCCTGCATCTGAGGCTCTGGTTTAGGAGATTTAGTGTAGGAGGTCTCGCTGACACAGTGGGCACCATATAATTGCTTGTTTGCATCGGGCAAGATTCCCAGTGGTTCTCAGCTGTGAGTGGGACCCAAAGGACATTCAGGAATCTGCAGGAGCTCTTGGTATACAACGTAAGGAGGCTGGATGTGCTAAACCTCCTGCGATGTACAGGACTATCCTATACAATGCAGAACTTCTCCTCCCCAAGGCCAATAAAACCTTCTTTAAGACACCCGTTCCCCCTTCCAAATAAGGCAGATGGCAGAAAGTTTTGTGAGTGACAGAAAGCAGAGTTGGTTTCGTCATGAAATATAGAGTAGAGCTTCTTGGAAAATGGTTCAAGCCTAAAACAATGGTACATTTGGATATAATGTAGGAAGTTAAACCTACTCATTTGCAACTCAGCTTAGGCAACAACCCATATCTTGTATCCCGTGTAGCACTGTGTATCAGTGTGAAGGTTGTGTGCCATGGGACGTCTCTGGAATGTTAAGAAAGGTAGAAACTATAAACGGAATTTAAATAGACCTCTGGGAGTTTGGTTTTCTCTAATTAAGAAAGATGTAAGGGGCTGGAGCGATAGCACAGCTGGTAGGGTGCATGCCTTGCACGTGGACGACCCAGGTTCGATTCCCAGCATCCCATATGGTCCCCCAAGCACTGCCATAAGTAATTCCTGAGTGCAGAGGCAGGAATTGCATCACTGAGTGTGACACACAAAGCAAAAAATAAAATAAAAATAAAGATGTGAAACTGGGGCTGGAAGATAGTACAGCAGTTAGGGTGTATGCCTAGTATGTGCCTGACCCAGGTTCCATCCCAAACACCAAATGGATTCCTGAGCATTTCTGAATGTAGTCCTGGTGGTACCCAGAACCATAGGGCCTGAGCAGCTCTGTATCCTTGTGTGGCAGCACTGAAATGAATCCCCCAAGTGGCTGAGTATTGCTGGGAGTGGCCCTTGAACCCTGGGATCCTGTAAGAACCTCTTGGGAGATACCCCTCTCCCTGTATCACAAAAGAAAAAGGGAGGAAGGAAGGAAGGAAGGAAGGAAGGAAGGAAGGGAGGGAGGGAGGGAGGGAGAGAGGGAGGAGGGAGGGAAGGGAGGGAGGGAGGGAGGGAGGAAGGAAGCAGGGAGGAAGGGAAGGAGAGAGGGAAGGAGGGAGGAAAGAAGGAAGGAGGAAGGAAGGAAGGAAGAAAAGAAGGAAGGAAGGAAGGGAGGGAGGGAGGGAGGGAGGGAGGGAGGGAGGAAGGGAGGGAGGAAGGAAGGAAGGAAGGGAGGGAGGGAGGGAGGGAGGGAAGGAAGGAAGGAAGGAAGGAGGGAAGAAGAAAGAGAGGGAGAAAAGAGGGAGGAAGGGAGGAAGGAGGGAGGAAGGAAGGAAGGAAAGGAAGGAATGGAGGAAGGGGTCGAAGGAAGGACGGGGGAGGAAGAAAGGAAAAGGAAGAAAGGGAAAGGAAGAATGGAAGAAAAAGAAAGAAAGGAAGGAAGGAAGAATGAAAGGAAGGAAGGAAAAATAAAGAAAGGAAAAGAATGCGAGCAAGAAAGAGTAAGAAAGGATGGAAGGAGAGAGGAAAGAAGGAATGAATAAAGGAATGAAGGAAGAGAGAGAAGGAATGAATCAAAGGAAGAAGGAAGAGAGAAAAAGAGAAGGAAGGAAAAGAGAAGAGAAAGAAGGAAAGATGTTAGACAAAGAATGCTCTATCTCAGTCTATCATTGAGGGGCTGGAGCAATAGCACAGCGGGTAGGGCGTTTGCCTTGCACGCGGCTGACCCTGGTTCGATTCCCAGCATCCCATATGGTCCCCTGAGCACTGCCAGGGGTAATTTCTGAGTGCAGAACCAGGAGTAACCCCTGTGCTTCGCCGGGTGTGACCCAAAAAGAAAAAAAAAAAACTCAGTCTATCACTGAGATATCAGAATGCTCTATCATCATCTTTTTCCAGGCTTAATTCTCATGAAAGCATCCCCTGCTACCCCACTCCCACTGCCAAATCTCCAGAACCATCTGCAGAAAGCAGGAGGAACCAGGGGCCACAGAGGTCTGCAGGAGGGATGTCTGCTCTGCACCATCAGTGGGCGCTTACTCAGGCCATAGTCTCTCTCGTCAGGGTCGCTCTCATGTTTCCGCCAGCGGCAGCACAGGTGCTGGAAGATCATGGTCATGTGGCTGAAGATGATCAGAGGTGGGGGCAGAACCGGCCTTTCGTGGAAGGTCATGATGAGCTGATACCTCTGAAACTTCCACACTTGGTTGGATATTGATTTGACCTCAAAGAACGTATTGCTGAAAGAGAGAGCACAGAGAGTGAGGCGGGGCACCACGCCCACCCCTGTCCCCACCACCTTTCCCCAGGACCCCTAGAAAGGTTCCACTTAAAAGGAAGCTCAGATAGAGAAGGGAGCACCAAATCAAGGGTGTTGGGAGGATCCTCCCAGGATGGGAGAAGCATGCTGAAAGTAGACTATGGACTGAACAGGACAGTCACTCAATGCCTCTTTTGCAAACCACAACACCCGAAAGGAGAGAGAGAACAAAGGGGAATGCCCTGCCACAGAGGCAGTGGGATGGGGGGGATGGGGGGTGGGAGGGATACTGGGATCTGTGTTGGTGGAAAACGGGCACTGGTGGAGGGATGGGTACTTGATCATTGAATAATTGAAACCCAAGCACAAAAATTTGTAAGTCTACAACTGTACCTCATGGTGTTTCACTAATAAAAAAAAAAAAGGTCCCACTTACTTAAAGACAGCGATGAGCAGGTTGACCAGCAAGATATTGGCCACGAGCAGGTAGCAGGCCATGATGGCTGGCACGATCCACGCCCCTGTCTTGCAGGGAGGCAGCTGGATTATTTTACCATCTTCCCGGGTCTCGTTCTGTCCACATGGAGCTGAAGGAAGCAACACAGGCACCCAGTGAGAAGCGCGGGCGATGCAAAAGCCGGGGAAACTTCTTTGAAGGAGAGGGTTTGGTTTTGTGTTTTCAAGATGAAGGGGAAAACACAGCCATCTCAGAACAAATGGAACAACAAGGAATTCCACAAAAGCCAAAAGAGAAAAATGAAAGCGTCATGAATAGACCAAGGGGCTGGAGGAGGTGGGTGCGGCCCTCACTTGTTCACCCCACCCCTGATCCTTGACACTGCCACGGAGCACTGGGTGGGGGGATCTTAGGAAACCTCCTGTGGGTTTTCCTGGGTGTAGCCAAGAGCACAGTCTCCTGGCCTCATGGGGTTACTTTCAAAATGTGCTGTGGGGGCCAGAAGTGACAGCTGGGGGAGCAGCAGCCTTCGGGCCTGTTCAAGGAAGTTAACATGGAGCTGCCAATACATGCTGGAGACGCTCAGCTAAGGACCTCCTGGGTCCATGCAGAAGGATCCGCTCAGGGCCACACTGACAGCTCTTTGGAACGCTTGTCCCCTGGGTGCTTCTGATGGGTGAGATTTCACTGGGGTGGCTGTGAGGGCTGCCAGCCCAGCCCTGGGAGTCTCTGGCCACGCTGCCCTTGAGGCAGCATTTTCATTCTGAGAATGTGCCTTTCAGAGCACAGGGAATAAAACCAATTGCACAGAATAACTGTGCTAAGGAGTGCTGGTGGTGGTGAGGAGGAAGGGGCAGTGTGGGACTGGGTGAGTGTGAATAAAGTGCTAATAAGGCCTGCTTGGGACTTCCAGAAAAGATCCCTGACAAGGTTCTTCAGTGCCACCCACAGGCTGCAGGACCCAGGGCTCAGGACAGGTCATGCCCTTCTGTGCGAGAGAAGAGGCAGGGCCTTTCTTTTTTTTTTTTTTCTTTCTTTTCTTTCTTTTTTCCTTTTCTCTTCCTTCCTTTTTCTCTTGGGCTTTAGCACAAGGTCCTAAAACTATGGAGGGGCCCTAAGAGGTCTCAGCAGTTGCTACAGGCAACTTTTGAAGATCTGCCAGCAAGATTTGCAAAGCTGACCTAGAATCTTCTCAGCTGGAGCACCTGGCAAAGCAAATCCATTCTTTTTCTCAAGAATTTTTGGTACTGGGTTGTTCTGTGTACTCTATTATTGGTTTCCCACATAGGGTGGAAGGACAGTTGAAAAAAATAACAATAGTGGAGACTGGATAAAGAGCACAGAGGTTAAGATGGCTTTGCATGCAGCTAACCCCAGTTTAATCCCCTTGCCCTGCATATGGGCACCACCTAGAGTGATCCCTGAGCACAGACCCAAGAGTAAATCCTGAGGACCAGTGGGTGTGGCCCCAAATCAAAAACAAACAAAACCACCAATTTTCAGGGGCTAAGAAGGTCGCTCAAAGAAGTGAGTGCATCATTGCATGCAAAAGGTTCCAAGTTCAATACCTGGTACCACATAACTCCCTAAACACCAACAGGTATAAACTCATCCCACCCCCGTGCTGAATTGAGTGGTTAGGCCTAACTGCTGAGTCAAGTATCACTGGGAATGGCCTCCAGGCTCTGAGTCCAATTGGGGAGGCCCCCTAAAATTTGCAAACAAACGAACCAAAAAACAGACAATGCTCAGCTCTGTCTCAATCAACAGGACGGAACTGATGATGGTGGTGGCCAAGCTATCAGTATTTCTTTTTAAACTTCCTCAGTGGTTCTCACTAAAGTGAGTCCACTGAGCTAGATTTATGCTGTAAAAATGATGGAATTTTGGCGCATGAGTTTCTGTCACACTTGGAGGTGCTCTACTAAGGGTTCTAGGGTCAGGGGTTGCAGTGACATGTGATAACAGGGATCAAACTCAGGCCTCATACATGCAAAGCATGTGCTCATTCTACAGAGCTATCTCTACAAATCTGTAAATTTATGTCATTTTTGACATGTTCTTAAGTCCAAAATTCATTATCTCAGACTGTGAACGTGGTAACAATACCAGGGCACCAACTTCCAGCTTTTGTTATTGCTGTTGTCGCTGTTGTGTTATTGTTCTTGATGGTGTTGATGTACTTGTGGGGGGTCAAATTCAGGATCTCACACCTACAAGCCATGCGATTCTCCACTGAGTCACGTTCCTCGCTTTTACGGTCAGAGAAAGATGGCTAACGTGCTCATCTTATTGTCTGCCTGCAAGACAATAAGAGTCTTCTCTAGGAGGCAGCATCCTTTGTATTATTGGTGGTTATGGTGCTAACTCCTTCAAACGCCCTGTAAGAGGTCCTGTCATTTCTTCCCTTGGAAGGAAGCCCAGTGACAGAGCCACCCACCCAGACTTTGGCTCCAGAAAGAAGTTTGAATTCTGAGGGTGGTTGCTCCTAGGCCCACTCTGACCACTTTCCACCTTTGCCCTGGAGCACAGACTGGATGGTTTATCTTGCAGTTCCTAGACATGCTCTGCTCTACTTCTTAAATGTGATCCAGGCTGGGACTTTTGCCTCCCCAAGCTTCCCTAACACCTTGTTCCGAATGCCATGCTTCTTTTGGGTGAATCTTTGAATCCTATTCAATTTGCAGAGCTGACTTAGCTTTCTGAAGCCCACCCCAGCCCACTTTCTTACTTTTTACCTCTTCCAGCAAGAACTGGCATAGTTGTTGACTCAGTGGCTAATCTCCACCCAAGTTTTTCTGAGCTCTTTTCCAACTATGTTTTGGCTTTTAGACTTCTATATTGGCTCACGCACTGTCCAATTTGAGGCAGAAATCTGCTAAATTAATTTAGACAAATTCTCTACCCTTGTTATTTGACCACCATCAATATCAGATCAAGTTCCTTTCCCCTAATCCCCTTACCAGTCCTGCCCCCAAGATATCTGATCACTTTGGCCTGCCTTCAGAAAAATCTTTTTATCTGTTTCCTCAGTACCCCACCCCTATGACCTTTGCAGATTCCCATGATGACCAATTTCCTTCCTCCTCCTATTTTTATTGATGTACTGTGATTTACAGCTCTGTCAATGATCGCTTCCTGCATACACCGTTCTAATACCACACCCACCACTGGAGTGCTCACTTCCCTCCACCAATGTTCCAGGGACCCCTCTCTCTTGAAAAGCTCAGTTCTGTATAACTCTCCAGTCCTGCTATCTTTCATTTGTTTTTCCCTTACTATGTTTCTATTCTACATATAAGGAAGATCAGTTTTGATCCATTCCTTTCCTACTGACTAGCTTCTCTCAGCATGAGACACTCTAGTTCTATGTATATAGTGGCAAATTTGTGATTTCATCTATTCTTATATCTGAATATTCTGTATATATTTCACATGTTCTTTATCCACTCATTTGTTCTTGGGTACTTGAGTTATTTCCAGATCTTGGCTATTATGAATAGTGCTACAATGATTATAGGGGCAAAAAGGTCTTTTTGAAAAAAATGTTTTTGGTTCTTTAGGGTAGATGTGGAGAAGGGGTCATAAAGAAACTCAATTGTTTGTTTTTTTGTTTGTATGTTTGTTTGTTTGTTTTGAGAAGTGTCCATATTGTTTTTCAAAGAGATTTAACCAGGCAACATTGCCATCATCTGAGGATAAGAGTTCCTTTTTCCCTAGAGTCACACTGGCACTATGGTTACTGTACTTTTTTTTTTAATGTGTGCCAATCTCACTGGTGTGAGGTGGCATCTCATTGTTTTGATTGGTATTTCCCTGACTGTAAGGGATGGAGAGCAGTTTTTCATATACCTATTGGTCACTTGAATATTTTTGTTTTATTTTGTTTTGATTGCGCTCAGGGGTTACCCCTAGTTCTGTGCTCAGTGATAACTCCTGATGGACTTGGAGGACCATATACGGTGCTGGGTATCCAACCCAGGTTGGCCATGTGCAAGGCAAGTGCCTTCCTTCTCTACTATCACTCCAGCCCTGTATGTCTTTTTAAAGGACTACTAATCTATTCATCTCTTTCTCCATTTTTTTTTTTTTGCTTTTTGGGTCACACCTGGCGATGCTCAGGGGTACTCCTGGCTCATGCACTCAGGAATTACTCCTGGCAGTGCTCGGGGGACCATATGGGATGCTGGGAATCAAACCTGGGTCCACCATGTTGGCTGCGTGCAAGGCAAACGCCCTACCCACTGTGCTATCGCTCCAGCCCCTCTTTCTCCATTTTTAATGGGGTTTATTTTTTGTTGTTTTACAAGAATTTTATGTATCTTGGATAGTATTACTTTGTCATATTAATGGTGAGCAAATATTTGTTCCCATTCTGTGAATTGTCATGTTTTTGTTTTTGTTTTTTCCCCCCAGTGCTTTTCCCATTTACTGATCCTCTCCATGCTCTTTGGCTATTTTTTTTTTTTGAAATTCCGAATTTTTTTTGCTCTTTGGCTATTTGTTTCCACTTTTACTGGTGTTCAAACTTGAACCCAACCTCTCTGGGTGGAAACTTACTCTTCCCGTTTTCCCATAACTGGCTTGAGTGTATACATAGCACATATCTCTACCATATGGTTGTTGAATGAATGAAGGAGATCACGTGGGCAAATCATGGTTTTTGGCCATCAGTAGACATTTCTCATGGCTCTGCAGACCTACTTAAGATAGACAGTTGCAATCTGAGTGGTCATTGGCTTCTTCTTGAGTTCCTCTCCCAGAACCCCCAGCCTCGACCTAAGAACTGAGGGTCTGTTTCCTACTTGGTCACAGCATACAAAAACATTTTCTTGGCTTTTTCTCAGCTAAACTTTTTTTTTTTCCCCTTTATTTTATTTTATTTTTTTTAAAGTTGTAGATTTACAATTTTTTGTGCTTTGGTTTCAATTATACAATGATCAGATACCCATCCCTCCACCAGTGCCCATTTTCCACCACCATGGATAATATCCCTCCCACCCCCATCCCCGCATCCCCCCGTCTCTGTGGCAGGGCAATCCCCTGTGTTCTCTCTCTCCTTTTGGGTGTTGTGGTCTGCAAAAGAGGCATTGAGTGGCAAACATGTTCAGTCCATAGTCTACTTTCGAC